TCCGTCGTTTTTAGTGGACACAGAGTGAAGAGGGAGTGAGGAGCCATCAAGTAGAGGAGTTGCATCAGTGGGAGGAAGGCAAGGTAATAGAGATGAAGATGAAGACAAAGATAAGTGAGGATTAGAGAGGTTTTGTGTGCATTTCGGATTGTGAGGGCGTTTGTTACTTCCCGGCTGCCCACACCGTGGAAGTTGGTTGCGTGACCGCAGAGCCCAGGGGACAACTGCTTGAGGCCGGTCACACGCGGCCTGTTTTTGTTTGTTCTCTTTTGTTTGGTGTGCCTCAGTAGCATACTTATCACTCCTGCCCTGTGACACGGCAGCAGGAAGCGCGGTCGTTGTTAATCCGGGCCACGGCCGATCCGGCATGAAATTTTGTGAATTTGTTTGGATCATGGTATTGGATGGGTAGCTGCTTTTTGTTTAACCGCTATCCAAACAACCTGCCTGGCATGGTAGAACCTCAAGAGACATAAGTCTCAGCCAGTATAGCTTGATTAGGTCATTGCGGTGTTCAAGCCCGACCACCACGTCAAGGTAGCAGCTTTCGGTCGTTGAAGGACATTATCATAGTTTCAGAGTGTGGGAGACAGTGATTTCATCGTATGACTTCTTTTTCTATTCGTAGCATCCCTGCTAGAATCAGCGGTGGTGTTGCTAGCCTCTCAATCCAGCCTGCCACTTTTCCTGGCTGACTATTAACTAAAAAACAAAGTGAGGTTGAGGACTGTGTCATATAATAAATGAGGAGGGTGTCAGCCTGGAGTCAGATTCACGCCGCGTAAGTGGTTGGCAAGCGTTCTGCTATTAAACCACCGACGCAAAACCAGTAGGTACTAAACGGACATTTCATCCTCATTTGGGACTCTTCAACAGAGTGTACTGATGAGCCTTTCGATCTTGGTAGATCTTAAGACATGAAAGTTACGAGGTATATCCATTGACCACTCAGTTATTCACTCATTCACTCACTCGAATAGCTATCTGTTTGTGTAAAGTACACAGATCATGGTGGAAATTAACCGTGGCTGTGTAAATGATACTTAGAAAGTAAGCAAAGTGTGCAACACGGACATGGTACTGACTAATACAACTGTCTGGACACCATCTAAGTTATAAGTATAAAACTTGGGCACTGTGGTAGAGTATAATTCCATTATAGATAAGATTTTATTTTGATAAATCGCACAGTGTTTACAGTTATATGAACTGATGACGTTTCGAGCACAAACTATTGCTCATAATCATATCAAGTTACTCACACAACTTTGATCTCTCATTTATATACATATGTATATATATATCAAAATAAAATCTTATCTATAATGGAACCATCTAAGTTAACCAGATCGAGGTGATTTAAATAGCAGTTGGCTTGTTTAAAGACCAGCCAACCAGCTGTTTATCAGCAGGTGAATGAGTTCAGTAGGCTGTTAAAGAAGGGGGTTGCTTATATTACCCTGATCTGGATTTTACTTATTACTAGCTGAAATGAGTAGTCTCCCAATACACCTTTCGATCATTAAAAAGTATTTCCTTTCATGTCTCATGCATGTATCATTTTTCCGTGGGTCAGTTTACTGAATTTATTCCAAAAAGCCTTAAAATAAATAGTGTCATCAATAAGCACGGATTATTCAATCATTATTTCGTTCTATGAATAGGTAATTAATCCCTCACTTGGCCTACATATTGATTGATTAGTATTGTTGTTCAGCAAAGTTCAAATGTCCATCAGTAGAACACAGGTAAACTGGTTTGACAGAGTCAGTCAGAGAGTTAGAAGAAGAAGATAGAAGGTGAGACCAAGGGAGAGGGAAAGTTGACTACTTACAGTTGAAAGAATTATCTTCTGACCTTATCGAAATTCTAAAAGAACAATCAAAATAAAGTTGAATAGACACTTTTTTTTCCAGTTTTTTTTCCCTCTACCACCCTATCCCCCCAGATGTTATCTTCCCTGGGAGATAAGCTGTAGAGGAGAATTTCGGTTACGCACACATATATACTCATTCACTGCTACACACAAACACATAGTGAAAGACTATCGCAGTGTTACTGATAACTTTATATAACATATATATATATATATTTCAACAACGACCATAGTTTAATCCATTTTTACTCTTTAATTCAAATGCATAAGCAAAAAAGAGGCGGAACAAAACTCTTGTATTGTAATTTTTGCCTTTATTCCTCTTCCCCTTTCTTCTTCGACTTGAGTTAATCCCCTCTAGAGTAAAGTATTAGAGCGGTTGATGAATACAAAAATAAGTGTTCGTAAATTTGACTGTCTACTGAATACATTAAGAACAATCCTAACGCGTTTTCCAAATAACCATTTTTGATTTTTTTTATACTATCTGTGTAATTTTATTGAAGATGTGGAAACATTTGAAGAAAAATCTTTTTTTTCTGATTTTCTAAACACTTTGGTACCAAACAGCCAGCTATCCAGTATTCCCTGGTTTTCAATGATACTTTTAAATGATATGGGCTTGTGATGAAATCTACATTGACATTAATCTACACCGGGGTCCAATATATCAAGGTGATGCTGATGTTCATTGTAGGCAATTGCTGAAGGTGACACTGATAAAATTCGGATTCGCAGGTCATGAAATATAGGTCCGAATGGTAGAATGATCAGTAAGCTTGGTTTCATAGTCTAAAATCTCTGGATTAGGTGCATGTTGTGGTCATGGGTATCTACTGTTGACGAGTTTTAAAGGGGGATGAAACAGCTGTCTAACGCTCCTTGATTTCGAACAACAGCGTTCAAAAATTACATGTAGAAATAAAATTTAACAGGAAGGAGTATATTGGTACAACAATCTGCTTAAATATGTTACAATAAATGTTTTTTTTACTAGATAGTGGAAATGGAATAGGGTGAGTAACGTTCAGAAGATACAATAAAATTTTCTAAGCAGAACAAGAAACATAGGAGAATGCATGACTTGATTAAAATGGTATAATTTACTGTGTACGTTTGGTCACTAAGGCAGTTCAATGTTTACATATGTCTTCTTTTGCGAACATAGACTTTGTTCTAACCGTTAGATGTCAGCAAGACGCATCCAGCCAGGTTTTTTTTGTCTATTGGTCAGTTTGAACGACTTCAGATTATATACAATATGGGTAGTGTTCACTTGATGGCGTAAATTCACTGTTTTAATGCTTTTCAGCCCTTTAGACTAAAGTTCCCAGCTATTTTCGTCCAATTATCTGATAAATAATCGTTCCTCTTAACTCCTTATCATTCCACAATTTACATCACTCCGGATCTATGTTACCTACAAATTATTCCTTGTCACAGTTTAAAAAGTATGTTCACATCTTCCATATAATTTATATTACCGCATTGTCAAGGTTATAGCGAACTGAGAAAAAACCTCAAAATAATGAAGAATGAGCTAATGTTATCCTAGCGCATTTCCCGTTCCTGCTTTGCTCAAGTTTTTAATAGGAAGAATTGTATGAAAATTTTCTTTTATGTATGATCCAGTCAAGCTGTGCGCTCAGATTAATTGCAGGAAATTTGTCACGTTCATGGTTTGAATATATATAAGTAATCGAAAGGTTTTACGTTAGGCAATCAACGCAGAATTTTTTCAGGTTAGATATTATTTGAGGTTTATAAAACGCTACTGGTTGGTCGTAACATACATATACATATATATATTATTTTTATTTTATTCCTCTACGTTCCCAGTAGAACATAGGACTTCAAACTAGAGGTTTGAAGTTTTGGTAGCGGTAATGTGTATTTTAACGGGATAGTGTTAACAGCCTCACACCCAACGTTTCCTCTTTACCAGTCTTATTATTGGCTAAGCTAGGCAAAGGAGTACGTCGGCCGGGGATCGAAACCTGAACCACCAGCATGGTTGGCCAGCATTCTACCACTGTGCCATCAACCCACATGTATTTATTTATTTTCGATTGCACACTAGTCAGTAACTAGTGTAATGTGTCTAGTCCTATCTCCGGTGCCGACTGAATTCTATCAGTGAAGTTTGCAATGTGGCCACCATGCTAGGTGGCTCACCATTACGGTGCACTGTGAAATGTTGATATTAGATGGTTGGAGGCAATCGACAGTACACCGTAATGGCGAGCCACCTAGCATAGTGGCCACATTGCAAGCTTGACTGATAGAATTAAGTCTGCACCGAGGATAGGACTAGACACATTACACTAGTTACTGACTAATGTGCAATCAAAAATATCCAATACAGTCCTACAGGAGGTCAGTCGCGAGCCTGAATAGCTCAGTGATAACATCTCTGACTGCAGCACTGGGTGACGCGGATTCGAATCTCAGAAGGGACATGAGTTCCTTCAAGGTTGCACAATCGCCTTGCTGATAAGTGCCAACTAGCACGAAACGCAGGACCAAGGCTTCCTGCCGATTGCCTCCAAGCATCTTATACCAATATTTACTTAAAGTTATAAATCCATAATAGTCAAAGTGTATTGCGGTGCGTGTATAATATGAGCTAAAAATGTTGGGCACATCATTTTGTGTATGGAGGTTTAACTGATCCTTTGGAACTAGTTATATAGGCCGTACTCAGAGGAGTTCATGTTTACTTATGCGTAGACGTATATCATTTTGATTTAGACACGGAGTCCTGAAATCGATAGATAATAACATGTTATCTGGTTTAGCGGATATTGGACACTGCATCAAAATAGATAAGTCATCTTTGGTTGTCTATCGAATTTCAAACAGTCAACCTAAAGGATAAACGATTACGTTTTCTATCACCAAATGAAGCTGGAACGACCAATAAGACATTAGGGATGTACTCATTTTATATTTTCATGCCTCATTATGTCTGTCGTGCTCCTTTTTACCTAGTTTACATCATACAGTTATTATCTATCAGCCTGTGAATTGATGCTTAGCTTTTATTCTCTCCATCATTCTTTACGTTATGTCTATAGTGTTGAAATGAAGACAAAATAAACAAAATTATCTTAAAACCTCTTACCTATTCCATATTCTTGTTCCAGCTAAACGCGCGTGTGCTGGCTGTGGTACACCAATAAAATTTGACAACATCAATGACTGAGTTTCCCTGGCACCGTTCAACATTGAGACATCATTTGAAGGTTGACTTTCATCTTCAGAATCTATATCATTTGAGAGTAAACCAAAATATGTTCTATCCATAAATGAAATTCGTTTCTCTTGTAACCATGATGTATTCAATGCTCGACGAGCTGGTGCAATCCATGGATTGATTAAAAGATTTGCTAATAGTTGGTCATATGGTGCCCAATAATCGATCACTTTCGTATCCAAATCATCTCTAGTCTGTAAAAATAAATTTAATAATCAAGTTTTCCGTTTTGCAGAAAAACTGGTCACTGCATTCATGTTAGTTTAATTTCATGTGAATAATATTCATTTAGAGCTAACTGAAAGGATTCTCATCTAAAGAATGATCATTATATGGTTAAAGAATATGGACAGGAAGTCGCCGGCCTAAGTTTTGTGACACTTGGCATTCTGCGATTAGGCCTCTCTAAATATAAGTATAAAACTTGGGCACTGTGGTAGAGTATAATTCCATTATAGATAAGATTTTATTCTGATAAATCGCACGGTGTTTACAGTTATATGAACTGATGACGTTTCGAGCACAAACTATTGCTCATAATCATAATCATATTGCTCATATATCATATCATACTTGATATGATTATGAGCAATAGTTTGTGCTCGAAACGTCATCAGTTCATATAACTGTAAACACTGTGCGATTTATCAGAATAAAATCTTATCTATAATGGAATGGCCTCTCTAAATATTTCCGCTCAAATAGCTGGATGATAACGTCTTTGAGTGACGTAGGTTTCAACTTTCAAAAGTATATCAATTCCTTCGAGGCTACAAGATATACCTTTTCAATCTATGCAAACGGTTTAGTAACCATTGAAAGGACTCTAGTATGACGAGCCACCTGTATTGGCGATGGCATTCCAAATTCGACTGATAGAATTCAGAAAGAACCACTGACGACTAGACACCTAAAACTGTCTACTCAACAATAGCTCATGAATGTATCAAAACAGTTAGTTTAACAGTACCGACCAGCTAAACACTAACTAACTCTGAAAATTATCCAACAAGGAGACCACTGTCCAGAGAATATGTTGAAGGAAGGGGAGCTGAATCAAACAGACGCTGAGGAGATAGTTGGGTTACATTACGCTCTAGCCGATTAGGTGGAGCTATAGTGGGAAATGTCAGGTCGAGCGTCCTAGGATACCTTGATGTAGATCGTGTGAGGAGAAGAGGAAAGCTTATAGGCGACCATACGGCCAGTTGAGGAGGACTTTAAAAAACAGGATGAAGTGGATACATGCTTCTGAAGCTCAGTGTCCCACTTGGAATCCAAGCAAATAATAATACATATTAACTGCATGAAAATAACACTAATGTTACACCGGTCATTGAGTAATTATTGTCGTTCACAACTGCACTAATTTTGACTGGTGAAAATCATCCTTAGGCTTGGTTAATTAAACTACTTACTGTCGGGTGACTATTTCGTCTACGTGCTTAGTCCTCAGCGAGGTTGTTTTTACTTTATGTACATCACAAAAAGGCCTTTGAATTCGGTACTGGTTTATTCATAAGCGCTGTTGATGAATGGGAGCAACCAAACAAACCCTAGTTTGAATCTTTCTACTGAGTCATCCCTCATATTTGAGATAAAAATCATGCATATATCTCCAGCGGTAAATCATACTTAATCGGGAAACGCAATCCTTAACCACACCTAGACTGTCGTAAGTACAGAAAAAATGGAAAGTTGGACGTCGGCTAGTGAGTTCACTCCTCTCAAGGGAAATCAACACCACCCATATTGAAACTTCAAAGCCTGAAGCTTGAAGCTTTATGTTCCACTTCAAAGCGCAAACGAATAAAAGAGATCATAATATCTTTTCAAACTCACCTTTCTTAAATAATCATCAACTGTATCTAAATACGGTAGCCAACTGTTACGTTCTAAATTATTCCATGTTTCTTGCTCAATAGTTGATATTTGAACATTCATACTATTCAATGTCCAAGCTGAACCATTTGCATGATTATTATTACCATTCTTATCTTTTTCACTAATACTCATTGTAATTGGATCTTCATAGATTGCATTATTGAAGTTGTAATTATAATTAATAGGATTTCCATTCATATGATTATTACTATTTTTTACAGTAAAACTGTTAGGCGTATTTGTTTGACTCAACCAACTGATTAGTTGTTTACCGATGTACAACATGACCTTGGATAATTGTTTACTATGCTCTTCATAGTGTTTACCACAGTCTGAAACTTGACCAGTCCCCTTCTGAATCTAAAAAAGTCAGTGATTGAAGATGGAAGATGAAACCATAAAATAGACGGATTACAAATAATCCCCTGAAATAAATAAAAGCAATGGTCTAACAGATGGTTCATGGTTCGCACTCTGATGTTTGTCATAAACTATGAAACAGAAGAATAAGTGCCTGATTCATAATCCTAATCAGAATTCAAAGCCGATGACTGTCTCGCATCCTCTTCTTTATGCAAATTCTCATTAATAGCATCTCGATAGTATCCACGAACTTCACATAAGACATCAGTACATATTTTCGGTTTTTTAACCTCACACTTGTAGTTATATCACTCTGGTGCCTGCAATAGTGAATATTTGTGCACACAGTATGTAAGAATACGCAGCATCTTTTTCTTTAAAGGTAGAATTCTTCACTGAAATCTATGTGTTTTTGCCTTTTCCGGAGTTATCAGCCAACAGTTATTGAATTGCAGTGGATAGTGTTTATTCTCACTGGGACTCAAAACATTCAAAATGATGGACACTTTCGCTACACATGTATTGCATAATATGTTCTTCGTGAAGTGACATTTCTTTAATGCTTCTATCGACTCCTATAGACCTTTTTCTTTCGCGTTCACGGTGGAACATATGGCATCAAGCTAGTGGCTTGAAGTTTCTGTACTAGTGTTTATTTTAACAGGATGGGGTTGCTAGCCTCATGTTCAACCTTTCCTCTTTACCAGCTTTATTTCTGGATTAGCGAGGTAAAGGAGTGCGTTGGTGACCGGGTATCGAACCCCGGACCATGTGCATGGTCGGGGAGCGTCCTAGCCTTTGTGCAACCGACGCTCTATAGACATAACTATTAAAAATTGTAGTAACGAAATTAAATCACTCATATAACTAACAAAAAACATCATAAACGCAAAGTTCAACTATTTATTCCTACAAAAATCAAGCAAATTTTCCATTAAAATTAAAAGCTATCTTAAACTGCATTCTTTTTATTCCTATAATTATCAAATATAGTATCATCAAATGAATGGATAAGATCATAGGAAGAAATCAATAATTCTCCTCTTACTACAGAGTTAAATGGATAAAGTTTTATAATTCGTTTAAAGCATACATAATAATAAGCCTATTACTGTTCGTATATATAAAGCAGTCTCATCAGTTATTTATTTTACAACTCTATTTAAACAAAATTATGGCGGGAGATTTGAACAAAAAGACTTTCACAACTTTAATCTTACTAAAAAGGGATATATATATATATATATATATATATATATATATATATATATATATGCAGGCATCACGATGATAATTATGCTTTATAATAGTGTGAAATATATAAAAAAATACAGCTCGTAAAACATGATAAAATTTATTTCGTTTATTTAGGTCAGCTTAAGTCGACTTTCCCGCCACCCCTACCACCATCATTGCCTTGCCTGAAAATTTATTCATATCAAAGATTTCTAAAGATATTGGTCACTTTGTCAGTAGGATTAAAACGAAACTGCTCACTTTTTTGTTATCATTATTATTATTTTTAAAATGATGTCTTTGAGAAATAAATTAAATTTGCTATCTTGATTACAAAAATAAACATAAATCAATATATACTTTTGAGATAGTAAGATTATATGAAATAGCCTTGATATGTCAGACTACTATTATTGATGGAATCAGTAATGATTCAAAAGACGAAATGGAAACCTACATGGTAGCAGGATTAGATGGAATCAGTGGCCTCTGAATTATTAATCTGACGCCCTGCTAGATAAGCTATTAGAATCACTTGCCGGCCACCTCACCATCTGACTGCCACCTCCTTAAATAATGTTAAGTAACTTTCCGATAAAAGAGAAATTAATGATCAGATTCCATTCGAAATTGATTAAATGCCAAGTATTTTGTGGAATGATTTTAAGTCTTGTAGTCATTTAAATTCGAAGATGTCGTTTTTCCTGGATTTCATATCTCCTTTTTATTACTTTGCGTCTTTAGTTCAACATAATACTTCAATGTTTGAAGTTTCTGTGGCTGTTATGTAATTTTACGGGGTGAGATCGTTAGTCTCACGCTCAACTTCTTCTGTTTTCCAGGCTTAATATCAATCTGTAAGCATTTGTGAGACTTAGGTGTGCATCAATCGGGAATCCAATCCAAACATTCCAAGTGATTAGTCAGCATTCGACTGCTGAACCACTTACATCCACTGCAGTGTTGCGCCATTAAGACTCAGCAATACTCTGCATTCCCAACCTGTCACCCATGCAACTAATTACTAATAGAAACTAACTTTGCTAGACTTCGATAATACATATATATATATGTATATACTCATCAGTCTGTTGAATCGCTTGTTAAACAATAAAGTTGTAGATTATAAAGGGACAATACCGTTGAGATTTCATTTTTCTACCACATTTTTTTTACTTTGAAAGACCGGATCGATTCCTTTTTGATTTACTATGGATCTGAAAGTGATCACGTCTATGTATGTATGTACATGTTAGGAAACAGTATGTGAACTTATTCCACAGTTGGTTCTTTTAGACAGTTATGAAATATACTTAACTGTTGTTTCGTTGGTTTGGGTTAGGAATGATTTTCGGTGTATCCATATAGACTAAGTTCACAGAGGGGAATCGGTCTCCGACTGTTCGTGAGTAGCTTCACAGTTATAGATTTCTAGTTTTGCTGTCATGTACGAATTATTTATTTCTAGGCCTTTGGTAGAGTGTTGCAGGACTCTATAACTTATTTGAAGTAGCTTTATGAAGACCATCGACAGTGGAATTCGTTATCTTCATTCACTTCTTTCATGCAACCTTTTAGTAAACTTGAGTCTTTAGACTTTTAGGCCATGATACACGTGCAAACAAGAAATGTACTACGCAAATACTCAGATATTTCAAATATTTCCTGATGATACCTTTTGTATATTGATTAATCCCTAGTTGGTAACCATTGTCATAAGTCTGGTCTTTAGTGGTGGCGTTTGAATTCTGTCAGTCAGGTTGGCTTTTTGATTACCAGGCTAAGTAGACAGACAGTACGGCGCACTTTAAGCGGGCAAGAAATCCAAGACTTAGATTTAATAACAGCTATTCAGAGTGCACCCTGATGGTCAACCAGCTAGCACGGTGATGATATTGCAAACGTGACTGAATGAATCCAGCCTGAACGAAACAAATGACTACACACATGACGCTAGTTATATATATATATATATATATAACTTGAATTGTCTTGGCTTCTCTGCTCTATTCCTCATGCGTAATCGCTACTCAGTTTTATCTTCTCTCCTCTTGGATACATAAATCTTTGTAACATTTTCCTCATGTCATCGATGACGTTAATGTCCAGTTGTTGAAGACAGATTATCAATTATTCAGTATATATATATATATATATATATATATACCTTATATCGTCATTCAGCCAGTATACTCTATCTACCACGTGATCATTTATTTCTAGACAGTCTGATATATATGTGGAAACTAATGTCGTGTAGTGAAAGGAATTCTCAAAAAGAGAAGTTTTGCTACCACTCTATTGATCTCTCTCTCTCTCTCAATCTGTCTCCTTGAAAACTGTAATTATTAGCTGATATTTATTGTACGATTGAGTGACAAAAGTTTACATTTCACGATTATCTTTCTTTTTTCATATCATGAAATATTGTTTATATTTGTTGTCATTTATATAATAAAGTGTAGGTTTGCGTGTTCGCATGTGTACATTGGTTGGAAAAATTTGTTTCCTGATATTTCAGATAAACATCAAGTATTTGGGTAGTTTTGGACAGTGTGAATATCTTCAGATTAACGTGTTACATCTAAGGAAAGGAATTAATTTTAAAGTAACATAGACAGACATAATAGATTATGATGACAATATAAATGGCTTGGTGTTCTCCAAGCTTTTAATGTTTGACCTAAGATTCTGCATCACTAAGATTGTTGACATCTTCTCAAGTAACCTGATTAAGAAGTATATATATATAGACCTGTTTTCTTACAGGATGCTTTAGGGTTACATTATTAATATTGTTCAACCGCATGTCTCTGTTGCGTTTGGTTCCCCGCCAAATTTATCAACTGGTTGCACTTCTGCCCGCAAGCTTTCATCTCCTCTTCACATTACCTCCTCCATGTCACCCGCACACCGGCGACCAACTCATCACTTCTCATTTGGGTTCTACTAGAGAGATAGCCTGGCGTATGATGTCACTTGATGGTTTTCTCAGAGTATGGCCAGTCCAATCGACCTCCAATTCTTATTGCATATTTGTAGCACAATTGGTCCTTGCTGGGTTAGTTTGCTACTAGAGATTCCTGTTACTGATTTTTTCCGGTTTTCTGATCTTCAGTACTGAGAGAAGGCAGCTGTTGATGAAGGGCTGTAGTTTTTTCGAAGTGGTCTTCATGAAGCGCCAAGTCTCTGATTCGTATAGTGGCAAGGACTTCACATTGGCGATGAAAATCTGGATCCTATTTTTCGTGCTGAGTGCTGTTGGTCTTTGCACAGACTTAAGAGTAGTAAAAGCCAGGCTTGCTTTCTCGAGCCTAGCAGCTTTGATATCCTCTTCAGTTCCATCCACCCGTTGTTGAATCAATGCTTCCCATATAGGTAAAGGCGGTTGACATTTTCAGATTTCTCCAATTTACGCCAACAGATGTTTATTGATGTTGCTGTCACTGTTGTCACTGTGTTCATCACCTCTTTTTTCTCTGTGTTCACAATGCTTTCAAGTTAGTTCATTTAATACGTTGATGTATTGAAATCCTGTTTTTGAACTCTCGACACAATGAAGAAACCAGTGTCATGAGGCGACTTCGTGTCAATTAAATGTTTGATTTTTTTTCAAATGATCAGTCAATGGAACTCACACCGCGTTTTACAATTAATCGTCTATGCAGTTCTTCATCATCCTTGATACGCAGTAATACCTTCTGGGTGAATGAAGTTTATTAAAAACACCAGACATCTACTCTGCACATTATTAATAGAGC